CAGGGTACATGAAGTGAATATGGCGAATAGAAAATTGAATAAACCATATAAATATAATGCATGACTTTCTTAAAATACACGTCTTGTTTTTCTAAAAAAAATATTGACAAAGCGAAATGATATGCATGCCTAAAGAACTGCTCCTGTGGAGGTCAATGACCATTTGATCCTGCACTGTTTATTGTCGTAAGGGAGACTAACATGATGTACAAACACGTGTTCCACTGACCACACAAACTTAACTAAAAGTGCGACCATTAGGTTTATGCCGTTTCCTCATTTACATTTCATCTTTAAGCTTGCGAAGCTTTCAGATTCCACATCGAAATGATAAGGCAATTTTCCCACCAGAGGTAAGTGTACCAGTTTGAAACGCTCGCTTCACAAACTCGGAGCATCGGCCAGTACTTCAAATAGGTTAAAACTACATGTACATCAAATACATGTACACGTTATAATGATTGATGTAGATCACTTTAGTAAAAGGAAAATTATAGATTTGGGAAAAGTATTCGATTTGAATCTAAATAATTTAATTTTGAAAATATTGCGAGGTGGGTTCAGTTTAGGGTTAGAAAATTGATAAAAATAGATACATGATCGTCAATGTTACAAACGTGATTAACATGACTATGAACTCAGGTTACAGAATTCCATTACTTTGAACAATTGTATTAAGAATGAGTTCTCTACTTATATCAGGTTACATTAAAGGTAATAGTATTATCTCAGAAAATGTTACAGGTTTACTTTGCAGTGGTTTTCTTCGAGTAATAAAATCTCTCAAATCAAAATCAACATTATCCTCTCGTTCATATTATCCCCACATACTAATGTAATCAATTAATTTGGTGCCGATGACTTTAATAATGCGATTTGAAAAGTAAAGTTCTTATTCAAATTCTGGCAATAATACAAATGTCAATACCGCGGATAACTTTCTGAACACTCAACACCAGAATTGTCTTGTGATCACAGTATCCCGTATTATCGGAGGAGTCTTAAAATCTACTATCTCCAGCGAAAAGTTTGTCCAAGCCTACTTGCGTTGTGGACAGAACAATTATGATAAGTATTCAAGAAGGCATTGAATGATATCATAGGCCTGCAGAGTCAAAAACACGAAGTGGGGCTCACTCATGGAGATATGAGCTCACTATATTTCTTCTCCTTTCCCATTCCATAAAAGTTTTTCATTTACATACGGCATAATTTACTAATAAATAAAGCATACAAGGATAATTAAATTAAAACTTTAATAACACAGTTTATAAATAATAGTTATTTATGGACAAGGGGCATTATAAAGGTTCTAATGACCAAAAGGCGACAAAGAACCCGAGGGTCAATTTTTACAGTGTTGCCATATGGCTTGGAGAGTCCTTTTCCCGTATGTCGTAAAACAATTTTCTACATTTTCAGGTTAAAAAAGGGGGAAATGCAGAGAATGAATACGTTTACGGAAATAAAATGTTTTTTACGTAAGGCTTCGGAGCCTGTCTCAAAATTCTCACGGGAGCCACGCCCCCTAGTGCCACGCCCCACTCCTGTGCGCATGCTTATGAGTGCCCTGTTCTAGTCGTATCTGTATTTAAATGGAGGCTAGAAAGCAACTTATGAACATGGACGGACGGACAGACGTTTTGAAACAAAGCGTGTATTTCCGTTGAAATCTCGAAATCGATTTCCCGCAGCATTACGTAACTTTCTCTCTACTACGTACATTACTCTGCATATGTACGTATACCAGAAAGTAAAAAAAGGTCACTGTCGCATATGCGTATTTACTTACAAGCAACACACGGTATTTCCGTTCCGTTTTGAGTTGGCACTTGGTGTTGCCAACATTCCGAGAACTACCTGATGCATATCGCAATAATGCGAATAGTGTCATGTTGATTTAAGTTTGCACTGAAAAAATGAAGTCTTCTGCATATTTCTCCAACATTTAGTCGCTTACCTTAGCTTCCAGTGCTTGGGCTATTCTTTCCATAATTTTACGTTTAAATGTTTTATTTTATTAGTTATTTTACTTAACAACCCACGTTTTATAGCGGTTTTTAATAGTTTCTTAATGTTTCTCAATTTTAGTTAAGCTGGTACGAGTAGTACTAATTTTCTTTGTATTGTGCCATTGTCATTCTTTCTAAAATTGTTTGATTCAGGAATTTTTACAATCTTTGTCGAACTTTTGAATTCTAATATATAAGTTTTGTATTAAATATTACTATTTTTATTTAGCTAATTGAAGGAGTTTATTTAATACAATTTGGTTATGATTTTTGGCCATTGTGTTATTATCGTCGTAATTACCTTTTGTTGTTTATTTTACCTATTTCATTTAACATTGTATTTCTTTTTGTTTGAAATTTATTAGTTTCACATAACTTACATCAGCTATTTAGTTTATTGATCAGTTATTCAGATTAGTAATCTTAGTTTACGGATCAATTATTCCTTTTTACATTGTATACAATTAATTTATAATTAGTTCCATTTCATTACATTGAGTTATTTTAAAATTAGTAATGACAAGTCCCAGTACCTCGAGACCTATTCCCAATAGTATCTGTGAAAAGCACAAGCATTCAAATTTCATTTCAAAAGGACATTGTACATTTATGTTGGGAGTTACGGAATGAATTATTGCAACACAGGAAAGTCAATCCGACACGATTTATCATTTTCCAAAAATTTTATGACATTCCAGCTTTAACTAAAGAACAAATAAAATCACTAGGTTGCCATAAGGCAAATAAAATCACAATGATAGCCATAAGGTTTAACTCCTTCGCTGTGGACCACGATGCTCTCTCAGCTTTGTTTTCTTGTCAACCTACCGGCAAAAATCTAATAATCATGAAAAGCATGACTGGTTTTCAGACTGGTTCACTTCTTTCAAAACCAGAACGCTTTCTTAAGAGTAAAGATGCATTCAAAATAAAATGATAGTAAATTTATGTACGAGTAATTCAGAAACATTTAAATGTTTAAACTAAAAGAAGTATTAAAGTAAAACTTTAGTATTTTTCTATCCATGTCCACTGTATTAACACGATTAAATAACTATTTTTCAACAATAAACTGCTTTTATTTAGTTACACAGCAAAAGATATAAAATGTATTTGTGTTGATCAAGCAAATAATATATCCATTTTTAGGTAGTCTCTCCGTTTTCGCGCATGAAGAAAGCATTGTAGTACGAAAGGCATAAGTTTTTTTTTTTTTAGATAAAGTAAGACTGAAATTGACAGCTAACTCACATTACGATTCCAGAGTTAAAACATAGTTATTTAAAATAAGCGTGTAGAATTTTTCAAATTTTATTGCCTATTAAATTTACCATATCTGGTGTATCCATTTGACACAGACCAAGGCTCATGAAGGTAAACTTACTTCTAATAAAATATTGCTATGCAATAAAGTTAGCTTTAGATTCTCCTTAGGATTAAAAACAATATTCATTATGTTGAGGAACGTCTATTTAGAGCTATCTACTTTTAAGAAGGTACACAATTTGTTCCGCAACTCATGTTCGAGGGAGTTTCATTGATATCTGATTTGTAGGAAGATAATTCTAGGAAATATTTATCATTAATATTGTACAAAAACTACACACTTATTAATACTGCTGATGCTAACTGAAGTTGAATTCGACGAGAAACGTCTACTTTTTACGAGGTGAGTGAAAAGAAGAAATAATTATCTCGTCGTATTGTTCTTGCACTAAGTTTTCACTTAATAAAAAATAAAGATAATAATTAAAATAATTTAGATTACATATAACTGCTTCTCGTCAATTTTGGTTGAAGTGTTTCGATTTTTTTAAAGTCAGTATATTTATCTGAACTCTTCAATCTGTCAACCTTTTATTAAACAAACACAAACATCAGTGTAGTAATAAGCAGTATCTTGTATCCGTGCGCTCAATCGACTTTTTTGTCACAAAACGTAAATATGAAAATTTACAACGAAAATCCAAGAAACTGAAGTGACATAGACAGTAAATTCCCGCTCTCAAGTCCTGTGAAGTCGATAGTCTATGCTTCCTCGGCACGTCCCTCGAGTTCTCGTTAACAGTCCTGAATGAGTTCTCTGTGTGTATGTGAAGGGTCACTTAAGGCTCGAGCAATGCACACGTACCGCCGAAGAATGCCCGTCGCATCAGAGAACATCTGTGCTGGGCCTCAGCGGAAGCCGTTGATTACTCCGAGCCAAGCCAGCGGCAGCGTACACGACGACAGTGACTTAGTATTCAGCACACTGCACGCTGCAGGCCTCTCTTCTCGGGAAGTTCGAGTCTGAGAAGCGGGAAGAAGTCGCCTGATTCCGAGGATCGGGAAAGTGGACCGTGGAACGCTCACATGCAAACAACCCACGGGCGGAAAAAACAACAAAGGAGGCTAGGCGCTGTCGTCTGTTCTTAGTTGCCACTTTATTACGTGATGCAATTACACGCTTGCAGGTCGATTCCGGGATGAAGAACAGGTTTGAGCACTAAAAGAAAATGTTAGGTAACGAGTGCAACGCCAGGTGCTCGTGGCAACGTCATGAAGCTGCTTCTTTGAGGGCGCTTTCGGTTATTCCAGGGAAGTTCGCGTCGAAGGATGCGACTATTCGGGATAATCTCTCCATCGTCCAATGTGATTCACCGCCACATGCGTTATATGGCGTATTACCATGCTTGTCAGCGAAGCCGGAAAGCAGATAGGAGCTTCCCTTTTGATATCATAACACAACAGTCTGACAACAGACGGATGGGCGGCGAAGAACACGGAAAAAGAAAAAAGTAACAGACAAAACTAAGCTTCATTTTCTGTTTAAAGTGTCGAGGATATTGATTTAAAAGTCACACCAAACGACTAAAATAGATCGTGTATTTAATAAACACACTGTCATTGACAGATTATTGCAGCTATTTTTACTATGAAAATGCAGTCTTGAAAAGGCATCAATAAACGTTCCAAATAAATATCAAAAAAGAAAACAATGTTACTTACATTGTTTAGCGCGTAAGTGACGTCCTCTATACTCCAACAACGGATTTCTTGTAACGCCGCAAAGTGATTTTTTTCAGTCATTGCTATGCTGCAAAATTACTTAGAAGACACAATGCACTTCCACGCAATGCACGATCACTGAACTCGCATTACACTTCACGCATAAGTACCGAGTTACGATTACACAGTCGACGACAAAAACAACACAGACGACAGCTGTGGAGGCACGCGGCGCGCGATACGGCAGGCAGGCACGCGCGCGGCCTTCTAAAAAAACACTGCGACCCTCCGCGTCGGCCGAGAGTTTTTACTCCAAGCGCGCAAGTCCCATACCGTGCGCCGGCCCAAACAGCTCGCGCCGTGCCCAGTTCCGCGTGGACCGCGGACCTGCGTGCTCGCGAATCGCTTGTCGCCCTGCGCCCGCACCGCCGGGGGGGTGTGGCAACTGCCGAGGGACGAGCAACACGGTAGACACACACACACTCGCTGGAGGCTCGCGCCGCGTTCCCTTCACGGCGCATGCCGACACGGGACTTTCCGCTGGCGGGGCGCCGCCGTCGCCCGCGTCCGAAAGAGTTCCTGCGCGAGCTGCTAGGTGACGCCACCTCCCCACTAGCTAGTGGCGCTTGTGGCCGCTAGGTGGTGCGCTGGACGAAATAATAAAAAGGACGGCCAAATTGGTCATTGCTATCATTTTAGACAAAAGTATTAGCCCAATGATTATAAATTTCATTTTAAATATTAACAAAACAATTTTATTTAATGTCAATGTTGCTAACATTTAAATGTAATCATTTTTCCCCCTTTTATCATTTCTTATTCATTGTGTTTTCTTATTTTCACAAATGTCGCGTTTTTAATTATATTTTATCAATATGTTTTGGCTCTGTAAACATATGTTTTAATGTCAATAAAAACATACTATACTATTCGTACTTCAACCATATTTCAATACTCTGTGGCCAAATATCAGTACAATAATAATTGAATTTCAGTGGTGGGAATGAGTATAATGCTGCTAGTCGGCTAGGCTGTCGACATGTTTTTACGACTTTCGGCGGTCGGTTTTTCGGTTTTAGAGATCACAGGACTTCAAGACCCCTCGGAAAATGAAGATCTGATATTACTTATACGAGTATTTTCAAAACGCACTGGTGAATAATTTGAAACACAAATTAATCAGCATTGCATCAAATGTCGAAAGGTCATGCTTAAAGAACTGTCATTTGCTAAAAAGAAAGAATATTACTAATATTTTTATGTAAACAAAGTTTAATGTTCGACAATTAAACAAGCCAACAATTACTTTCGGATTACATCGAAAATTCCTTTTAATTAATATTTCCTTTACGGTGCTTCAATTTCTTCTCACTCTATAAAGTTATCGAACCATAATTACAATATCAATCACCGCAAAATTACTTTAACATTTTGAATTTGTTATGAGAATATTTTTTGACAAATTGTTCTTTAAAAATTATTGTTCATACAATTACCATAACGATCTCTGAGCATTATTTTCAAATAAACATGTGTAATTCTATCTGTAAACATCTGTAAACATTCACGAGAAACACCAACAAAAAAGACGACTCCGTTTATAGTGAATGCCTAGGGACCAACGTTTTTGATTCACTAAATCAGAGATTCATTATATCTCACAATGCAAAAAATAGGAGTTTCTTCTCTATGATTGATTTTGTTATTACAGAGGTTCAGTAAAATATTCAAATGCCACGCATTCGAAATTTCAATATATTTATTTAGCCTCAAAATAATAATTTTTATTAGTTTACTGCGTGAAGATTTTTATTAATAATTTTTGCAATTCCGTTTCCAGAGCCAGTGCCTTCTGGATTCTACAATTTCCACTCTCAAAATATTTTAAATAGTCTTGATGCCCTTGAATATCTGTTGCCTTGTTAGAACCCTTCTTCATTTGTATCCTCTTTATCATCATATTCGTTTCTTTATGATCTGGAAGACCCTTTCAGAATAATGTCCTTCCCTGATGGAATTTCTCTGATGGATAGTTTTTATCTCGTATCGATGAAGTCTTCAGGATCGACAGAATTGTCATAGAATTCAAAAATGTTCCTCAGAAGTACCATTCTTCAGTCCCTTTCAATCGTCGTAAATGATACAAAAATAACTCACGAGACCGTCCACCAGAAATTTCTTAGTGTTATTGGAATTTGCGGTACTGAGGCAAAGTAGTTTTTCCTAGAAATTGTGTTTCCCGTGTTCACTATAGCTAATATGGGGAGTTCACCATTATTGAATCATCTATGAGTCTATCCATCACATCTACGAGACTGTTATAGTGTGTACTTTTGATGTATGTGAATCGGGGGTCAGTGAATATAGGTCACTAAAACCGAATATTCACTTCACACGAGTTTTCTATAATCAGAGTCGATGGTATAATGAATTTGAAATGCGTTCATCATTACATTGTGCATTATTTAAAAATTATAATTCAAAGATCTTTTCAAGTAAAGAAACAGCAATATACTTTCCAGAGAAATTGAAATTATAACTAATGCAACTTTTTCCGCCAAAGGTAGTATAAGTAAGTGTTAAAGCATGATCAAAGGATGATAATTGTAATGTCTCTGGTGCTCAACAATATTAAGGTTGCGTGGTTTTATAATTCGTCAATGGATGACAATATTCTTCTTGTCTGAAGGTAGAACTGAGGGTGCTGCAAATATAGACAAAGAGAGCATACTAGTCATTAATGTTAATGCGTGTAGTGTCTGAATATATGGAATAAACAATTGATTACGAAAATATTTGTTTTCCGCATTGTATTAATTCGCAAATGCTACCATTGCAGCACTCTTGTCTATTTTCATTTGTTTCGTTTGCAAAATAGTGTACGCAAATGTGGACTGATTGTCGTTAACCTTTTCCATGAACCAAATCATAGGAATAAATGGAACGTATCTCGATTGTAATGGACAATCTGGAGAGATTAAGGAAGTACCAACACATTGAAATTACGACAAAGAATTTTGTAAAAATATGGATGGAGCTCCTCTATCAACATCTTTTGAATGGAGTTTCCCAACATCGCCTCATTTCATCAAGGAAATCATCATTGGAATAATTCTTGTAATATGCCTGGGAATACCTATTCACGTGGCAACAGAATATCCACACGTTAATGTTGTTAGTATCGTGATTATACTATCTATAATATAGTATGTGGTGATTATTTACTTAAACATTATTAGGGTATTAATGAAAAACAGACTAGTTTAAAATAAAGGATATATTTGTAGGGGTCTCGGGAAGACTTTGATGACGAGGATGATTGGAAAAGTGAAAGTGGATCAAGTTCTAAAGGTGAGATTATTGTCCCTTAGTTGGGTCAGAGGCAAAGTGATTTACTTAATGAGAAAGTTAACTTTCTGGTTTACATTCCTGGAAAAGGCCTCAAATGGTAAGTGGGGTAGAGGTTGTTAGTTTCCTAAGAAAACAATTTTCTCATAAACTTCCCATTTCTATTTAATATACACTTTTCTAGAAGCCTTTGACTTGTTTATGACATACATCTTGTAATAAAGGGATGAATTTAATTGTTAATGTAAGGACACATTTTTTTTAAAAAAGTTATTTAAATCTATTACTGTCCAAAACGCAAATTCAAGTTTTGTGATATTATGAAAAGTTGTATGTGTATGTTATTTATTTAATAAAAAGTAAGTTATAGAAAGTTTTAAATATAATTAATTAAAGTAGTTATTAAAAATAAAATAAAGGTGATATTTCAATCACACATTTATTAACTAAATCTATTGACTCTACAATCATCAGCTACGTGTGGGTCGACAACTAGGGACAATTTTTTCGGCTTAACTTTGTGTTTTATAAGTTGCTGCTGCTGTATATATTTAAGAAGTTTTAAAACTAATATATGTAATGAGATGCAATTGTACAAGTCTATTGCAATGTTTTTATAAAAGTTATTTTCAGAATATATTCATTGAAAAAAGTGGTTTTGCAGTACACACTACTTTGTGAAGACTATCACAGTACACATATATTATTGTCAATACAGTGAATTATAAAGTCTAGAAATAATACAAAACAATACAATAAGAATGCATACTTAATATGCTTATTCTTTTCGTGAGATATTAGTTTTTCAACAACATCAGCTTTGAATAAAATTAATGGATTGCTTACACGCCCATTTATTACCAGTACATTTATCTACTACTACCAGCACACTCATATTAACTACTCTCTAATGACGAATACAAACCTATTATGACAGGATAGTGTTCTTTCCTATCCATAACCTTGTTTCGGGTTGGTCAAATTTATTAGCCCAAATTGTAATATGTTCTGACAGAACAAAAAAACAATTGTATTCAAACCTGTCTCTTCGTCTAAATAGTTATTAATATAGGGAAATTCTATTTTAGGTATTTACCGCTTTCGTTGAGTCCCAATGAGATAATTTATCAGTCCCCATTTATTTTCTTCTTCGCCAACCATATTTTTTTGCTAATATAATTACTCCATAAATATATTAGTTTTCCATCATTGTGTCAGAATGTGAAGCATTGTTTTTGCTACTTATAATACAAATGAAAATTATTATTAAAGCTGCAATTAATTTATAACGAATGAGTTTGTCACAATATACAAAAATTAATGATAATTTAATTCTAGCACATTACAATACATCGTGTATATTATGGAGTGCACAAAAATGAGTATTTTACAAACATATTGTTTCTATTGTTCCTCCATTTTCATTATTTTCCTCAAATATACATCCAATACAATCACTGCAACCTTGGATCGTTTCAGCAGTCATCAGGGAGCGATTACATTCACTCTGCGAATAAGCCGAATCAGGTATTATCGGTCAGTAGGTCTACAGGAATAAGGTCTTCGTAAATAATGTCTAATATTTGAGGTCTAACGAAACTTGATCTATTCTAAAAGATCTACACAAAACAATCCCTACACATCGCGCTAGTCTACATGCAAAATATCTAATGCAAGTATGTCCACATGCAGAAATGTCCATTGCCTAAATGTCTACATGCCAAGGTGTCTACATGCAAAAATTAATATTGCAAATATGTCTACAGATAAAATGGATCTACGTAAGAACGTTTGTTAGACTTGTCAGCGAGTGTCATTATAAATGGATGTTAAACTCGAAAAGTATATTTATAAAATATATGCAATTCATAAATAGGACAGAGTTTCATTAAAATCATTCACCAGATTCTTCGACTTCATTTGCGCATTCATTATTTCAACTTGCTCCATATTGACAGAATATTTTAACAAAATATTTGTTCAATATTCCTGTTAGACTTTTAGCTAGTCCACTTTTAGA